GTGTGGTCGAAAGGCACTATATAAGTAATAGTACTTATACTACTTTATAATAGTAAAAGTAGTATAAATAAAGTAAAGGTAATGTAATTTTTTTCCACACCAACAGGTCCTTGGAGTGAAACCAGAGCTGACAGAGGGAGATGATGATGATGATACAGTGGCAGACTTGTCCAACAGGAAAATGGCTAAACTATACATGGTGCAGTATTCATAGAATACCAGTGAATTAAATTCAAGTTATGTCTGTGTAAAGATGAAACTGAAACAAATACAAGCGAAACTGAACACAGGACATTTTGTGGAGGATTGGGTAGTTGGTTGACTTACCTGGAAGCGATAAGAAGATAATTAAAATAATTACACCTGTCAGGGAAGATTTATTGATTGATTGATTCATCCTGTCACTTAAAATGAGACTAATAAATCTTAACTTAGGCATTTTATTACATTGGTGTTGTTCTACCTAAGTGGATGACAAATGCCTTGGTCACACTACATGACAGTCTTAAATCACTGTACTGTTCACACTACAGAACTATCTGTCTTGTAATCGGGAGTCTTGAAGTCTTGAAGAAGACTTTTCACACTACCTGACAGATCAGCAACAGGAGGTTGTGGCAATGCGAGGCAGGCCGTTTCAATAATTAATATTTCTTGCTAAAATAAGTGCTAATTGGTGGATCAGATACACGCTGAACTGAACACAGACTTGTAACACTGTTAATCCACTGTCCATTATGTGTGTGAAGGTATTTGTTTCGCCTGTTACCAAAGTAACTACCCTGTTCGCTGCTTCCTGTCTGGTGCTGGAGAGACACTGCTCTCACTAGCTGTAGTTAGTTGCATTGCTCCCTGACATGATATTTAGCCTTCTAGATATTTTACAAACATCTGCTAGGCATCGGTGAGCTTTCAGCAAACCCTCTGACCTTGTCTCAGCATACTTATCATGGTACAGTATTCACACATAATACCAGAGACTCAATAAATAATAATAATCGCAGGGATTCCGTTGGAATTAACTGATTGGATGAAAGGCAAAATATTCACAATTTGAAACGCTGATGTGACTAGTCCTTAATTTGATACCTATTCTAAATTTTAAGTCCAAAAATTGGTGAATATGTCTTCTGAATTAATATATGCCACTTAAAGCCAAGTATTTTTGCTGTTTATGCTGTGAGTGTTTCTTGCATAAGGCCTGTTATATACATATATACATTCTTTCTTTGTTTCAATTGCCAGCTGATTTGCGTGCTTGTATGTTACCAGGTATCTGATGCGTCAGGGTCCATGAAAGTGACTGTTGCGAAGGAGGAAAACCCATTCCTCCAGAGTGACCTGCTCTCAGATGAGTGCTTCATCCTGGATCATGGCAAAAACAAGATGATATTTGTATGGAAAGGTAATCCAACAGTAGCACCTTTCAGTATGCTTTGAATGGTTTATTGTCTTTGTGACTGTGCAGCAGTGGGGATGGAAATGTCTAATTTTATTGATACCAATGCCATTCTTCCTCTCTGCCATGACTCCTTCGTGTTGCAAATTTTCAGCAGTGTTGATGCATGAGTTTGATATCATTGATTTACAATGTTCAACTGTCAGAAGAATATGTCGGCATCAATAAAACAAATTAATAAGCTCAGAGTGATACAATTCCGATGAAGTGGACAACTTAAAAGCAGTTCTTAACTGGAACCAGTTCTCGATTCCCATCCCTATGCACAAGCTGTGTGTGTTTTTCATATTAACCTCAATCTCATCTCATTGATCTCCAACAGGGCAAAAAGCCAACCCCAGTGAAAGAAAGGAAGCCATGAAAACAGCGGAAAGATTCATCAAACAGATGGGCTACCCAGCAAACACACAGGTTTACTGTCATTGTCACTTTGCTACTGTATTATTTATATGTTTAAGAAGCGCCATATTAAAATGTGTGACTCTTACAAAAATGAAAGTGGTTCCGGTGGTGATAGTGTTGCTACTGATGGTCCTGCAGATCCAGGTGTTGCCAGAGGGAGGAGAGACTCCCATGTTCAAGCAGTTCTTCGTTGGCTGGAAGGACAAAGACCAGAGCGAGGGTTTAGGGAAGGTGTTTGTCACTGAGAGGATTGCGAGGATCCAGCAGGTGAAGTTTGATGCCTCCAAGCTCCATGAGTCCCAACACATGGCAGCCCAGTACAACATGGTGGATGATGGGAGTGGAGACACACAGGTGACTGAATATACAAGTGGTCTACATACACTGAATATACAAGTGGTCTACATGTAAAACCAATGCTAGTGCTGTGTTTTCTGCAGTGGTAAATAAATGCTGATGACTTCTACTAACAAATGGCTCAGACCTGTGGAGCATGAGGTGTTTTTCCTACTACCCCTTTCAAAAGGTGTTGCCTTTTAAGGTGGACATGTTGTCCATTAAGAAGTTATGGTGTATGTGTATAGGCTTTGCATGTAGTTACCATAGTCAAAGTGCACTTTCTCAAAAATTTAACTACACATCTTCAGGAAGCTATGGGTTTCCAACATCATTGGAGATTGTTGTGAAACAGAGGTTACCTAGATGTTACTTGAGTTCCAGTGCCTGAAATGGGCCTGAAAACTGGGCTCACCAGTACTGGGACACTTTGCATGCCCCCAGCCCTGCCTAGCACATTCTTTTTTTGGACTTTAGCATTTCTAAATCCCTGTGCACAGTATTGATACCGGATTGAGGTACTCAAACACCGTAACTGTGTCTCTGTGTAAAGACATAACTAGTCCTTGTTAAAATGGAGTAAAAACGGCAAAATAATTAGAGTTGGGGTTATGTTGGGTTCAGAGTTAGGGTTGTGCTAAATAAGGTGACTGGCCTTTTTTGTTCCAATTCACGCACTGTCCAGTCCATAAGCAATACATTATGACAGAATATAAGAAGAGAATAGACATAATTAGGTTAATTGGTGGCCCCCGTTGGCCAGGAGGAGAGGAGAGGAAGGTGTGGAGTGGATTGGATTAGCAGTAAAAGGTTGCAAAACTTCTCTATTAGACATGTGATGGTTAAAGTAGTGCTTCTTGTTTCACTCTTTCAGATCTGGAGGGTGGAGAGCATCGGCAGAGTTCCTGTTGACCCAAAGACCTACGGGCAGTTCTACGGTGGGGACTGTTATATCATCCTGTACACTTACGGGAAAAGACAGATCATCTACACCTGGTATGACTCTGTTCACTCACTGAACTGGTTTTGCATAGAGCTGTAACTTCCTCTGTGATGTGTTCTAATGCTCCAAGCTTCCTGTTTCATGTCAATTATATCTGTGGTTTATTTTCATATTGTGCCAGCATTTAAATTGTGCCTAAAATTGGTACCTGTCACATAAAATACAGGACTGTCCGGTAAAATATGAGGTGGTCCCGTATTGAGCAATAAAACATACCGTCCCTTACTGAATTAATACGGGACGGAATTTGTCTCATACTTCGTGTACACACTACTCTAATGCCTACATTACATTTTCACATGCTTGGAATGACATGAGAAATAAATGAGTAGTAGTACAATAAAGAGTTTCACAAGACATAGCAGTGAAGAATTAAACCAAAATTTGCAGAAGAGAATGACAGAGTCACAAAGTTGTCCGTCACCGTTACTGCTCAAGGACACACAGATGCACCTTTTGTTATTGTAGGTGAATACCTCCGGCTCAAGTCCACTGGTAAAAAGAAAGAAGCTGTCTGACTAACAATTTCAACGGCAGACAGACCACAAATGGATCAATAGTATTTTCTGTTCCCTGTGTGGACTGTCTGACCTGAAGCAACATCTACCATGTCCAAGTAGCGCAAAGGCAGAGGACAGAGTTATTTTGACAGACCAAAGATTTTGCCCATGTCTTTTAATCCTTTATATAATTGATGCAACTGTACTTTACTAATATTGACTATTTGCTTTACATTCATTATGAGAGTAGCTGAGGACTTTGAAACCGATGCATAAAAAGAACAAATTGGTGCATTAAAAAATCATCAGAAAGCTGGAAATTAAGTCTGACACTCAAAATCTCATGGGTGAGGACACCCTGCTGACAAGGTCCCTTATTTTCCCACACTAGAGGGGGCTGAAGGTCTCCCAAATAGTTTTTGGAGCTGCGGGTCAAACGTAATAATACTGATTACAAAATGTGATGACTACTAGCAGTGGCCGAGAAACTTGTGAAAAACAGAAACACCCTATTTAGAGCCAGTGTTTGGTTTGTCTGTTCTGGGCTACAGTAGTAACATGGTGGTTCAAGGCAACCCGTATTGAAAACACGATTATTTCTTTCAGGTGATTATACACTAATGAACTAATTTTTCCGGAATATAAAAATATAGATTAGTTCAGCTTTAATGTTTACTGTGGAGTTATCTTAAACATCCAGTACTAATCATTGTTACTTGTCTCCTTCTGACCTGTAGGCAAGGAGCCAGCTGCTCTTTGGATGAGCTGACAGCCTCGGCCTTCCTGACTGTACAACTGGATCGTTCACTTCAAGGGAATGCAGTTCAGGTACAACCAGTATCAGACCTGAACTGCCATATTCATTGGTGAAAGTGGGCGTGGCCTACCACATATTTGCTCGTAACTCAAGATCCCTTTGAGCAATGATTAAATTCAATGGAGATTCTGCTCTGATTGAAAGGGAGTTTCTTTATGCTGTTTCACAAATGAAGATGCACATGCAGGTTTCCTTATATGGTGAAAGCTTGATTCAGTGTTGTAAAGTCCTGCAGGTTGCAAAACACTTGTGTGAACACATCCACACAGAACTTCGGTCTCATTATGTTTGAGCATTGATGCCGTGGTGTGTATCAGTGTGGTGTTGGGCGCTCTGCCCTGGCACTGCCTGGTGGGAGGGGCTTAGTGGAGTGATACAAGGCCGCAGAGAGAGAAAGATAGAAGATTTTGCATAGGTTTTTTTTTTTTTTTTAGCTTTATTTGGATTCTGACAGTAGAGATTGACGAGAAAGGAGAGGACTGAGCTTTGATATGTGGCACATGCTCTACCAGGTTAACTAGCTGGGAGCCCTAAATCCTGAATATTTCAAAATGATTTTTCTCCACGAATGGACACATTTATACCACAAATTTTCTTTGACATTTCCTACAAAGGAGTTTTCTGTGTGTGTGTGTCATCAGGTGAGAGTG